TATTATTATTATTATTATTATTATTATTATTATTATTATTATTATTATTATTATTATTATTATTATTATTATTATTATTATTATTATTATTATTATTATTATTATTATTATTATTATTATTATTATTATTATTATTATTATTATTATTATTATTATTATTATTATTATTATTATTATTATTATTATGATCACTCTTTTATTTCACAAATATTTGTTTTGTTGCTGGTACTTGTAACAGTATAAAATTTAATAATGTTTGAGTTTCACACAATGAAAAATGTCATCTTTCGACTGCATTTTATTTTTTTCAATAAATCAAATCAAGAGACCAAATGGAGTGTGCGACAAAATGGAAAGCACAAAATCATTTCTGTAACCAATCAGATATTATCTGAGAATCGATATTTTATCTCATAGCTTACAATTTAATTTACTACTAAATAGTTCGGAAGGAATTATGGATATTTATAAGTCAGAAATATTTATTTAACTTATCAAATATTTTTTAAAAATCAGTTGTGAATGTAAGAATTACTCGAATAATTTTCATAATTTAATTTTTTTCATGTTTCGAAGCTCTTTTCAAAAGGCTGATCTTTTTCCATTAACATCCATGCATACATATATGAACTATGGATAACATTTAACCAAACATTTTTGGCCATTGCAGATAGCAACAAAAACAATATTAAAATTATTGATACTATCAGTAGGTTATCATTTTTATCATTATGATTAAGTAATATTAAAATAGTAACCATATTAATGTTTATCATTATTAGTCTAAAATATTGATCATTGTTATTAGGACCATCAACAACATTACTAATGAATATGATTGTTAACGATAAGAATATACCACAAATCGTAATACATCATTAAATTAATTATCATCATTTGTACCTCAATAATATTCCCTCTTTTGTTGTTATCAGTGATCAAAATCGCTGATATCATCGTTTACATGCTGATCGTTTATCATTAACGGCTTAAGCTAAATTTTCTAATCCGACAATTTGCATCCAACAACGAGTCATCATCGGTCAGTGGAAAAACTTTCATTGGTGCCATATCGGTGACTGCTTTCCTCATCAATGAGAATGGTTCTGACAAGAGGCGTGGTCCACTTTTATAGCGATCGGGAAGAAGAACGATCATCATCATTTTTCGACACCCTTTCAACTATCATCAACAGACACAAGGCATAAATAAGCAATACGGAGGTAGAGTTGAAGAAAGCCGGTACCGGTGCCGGTGTGGTATTTTAAGCAATCCTTTTTTTTTTTCCACCCGACCTTACTCCATCTTTAGCTAATTCCAAATGTTTAATGCATGCGGACAACTAAACAAACAACTTGTCTTATTATGGCATTGTTAGCTGTCATATTGATATATTTGTTAATTGACAAGGTAAGAGATAAATTATTGTTAAAATAATTAATGAATATATTATTAGTTGCTTGAAAATTTTAATAGTTATTTAAACATTTTCCAAAATTTTGATAATAATAGCAGGCAATGAAAATTCTTGAAATTTAACTTTTTTAAATTAACTATTTTAATTTTTTTCTGTAATTATTAGATTTAAATACTCCATTTCATATATCTTCAGGGATTTGGCCATTACAGTAGCCATATTGAACATGTGCCAACAATTAGTGATTTGGATGGTTTAGTAATTGCTGTAAAAACGACATTAAAATTTCATGAGAGTCGTATACGTGACATAATTGATACATGGTTTCAATTAGCACCAAATAATGTTCGTTTTTTTTTTTTATTTGAAATTAAATTAAATGTAATCCAAATTTATGACTAATTATTAACGATAAATGATTTTATCGGTTATTTACAAATTATCAGCTGGTAAAAAAGAAAAAAAAATGTATTTTTAAAGTCTCATTTTAAATCTCATCGTATTGTGGTGCCTATTATTACACAATATTAATAAAAGACTTAGCATTAAACAAGTGAAAATTTGACAAATCAAAATAAAATCGCATCAGTTAAATATTTGATGGGCAGATAATAATATGATTATTGACTGTCAACTTCTTTTTTATTACAAATTAAAATTTATAAATTTAATCTTTCAAAGGTGTATAAGAATGAATGATACGAACAAGGAAATCCTTTATTTTCTTTCATCTTTCTTATAATTTATTTGAAATTTTCAAATTTATATTAACGATTTAAATGAGCAAATAAGTTATCCTTCTCATTTACTCCTAAAAGAAGGCGTACTTTTTACTGAGAAAATTTTTGGACAATTATAAATGATTTATTCTTTCATTATTTGTAATAAATGCAACGATTCATCAAATATCTCAAAATAGCAAACGTTCAATTCTCGTCCTAATTATAGATTCTTTTGAATGACTAATTTGCATCAATTATTTCTATTGAGATAAATGATGCATCGTTTATATGTATATATACTGTTCGTAAGGTCGGATCACCGATTATCTTATCATATACTCTTATCTCTTTTTTAAAAAAAAAGGAGAAAAAGAAAAAGAAGAAAAAAAAGCTAAACCATAAAAATGTTTACTTTTTAAATAGTAAAGGTTAAAAAAATTAAATTCAAAAAAATTGAAAATGCTAAAAGCATATGAAGTGAAAAATTTATAAAATGAATCAGAATTGTGAATGATTTTCAGGAAATATTATTCAAATCTTAATTTTTCATTTCTTATCATAAATTTTTCGATACACAATGCATCATTTATCACTTTAAATTTTTTACAGTTTTCAAAATTATTGAAGTAATTTATTGTATAATTTTTTCCGCCATTCCTTTCCATTTAGAAATTCTGGTAGTATTTTGATTTAGTTTCATTTCGTTATGCATAGAATTCTAGATTTGAATTTGAGAATTTTCAAAGTTTTTTATATCAAAAAAAAAAATTGATGAGAGTGAGAAATTTGAAATTCCTGAAGTTGTGTATTTTTTGCAACCATAATTTTGAGTACATTAGTTTTAATAATTTTTTGGCTTGTTTTTTTTTACAGTATTTTGAAATGTAATAGTAAGATTTAGCAAAAATTTCATTATTCACTAAAAAAATAAGCACTCGAAACTGGCAAAAAAAATAGGTAATGAAAAAAATTAAATTCTGACCGGATATAAACCGGATCGATATCTCGTTGACCGAATATAAGCCAGATCGATATCTCGTAGTATATAATTCAGCAAATGCGATTGTATGATAAGAAATCGCGATGAATTCAGCAGATAAGTGAATCTAGTAAAATAGACATAAAGCATGAACTTTTTTCATGAATCCTTTTATTGCTCCGTATGGCACTCAATTGCATCATCGAGGAGGCGATACGGAAAGATTAGAAAGTATAGATAAATTGTGATACTATGATATTATTATCAATTGTAATAACGGTATTATCAGTAATTGTCGGTGATAATAATCACTGAAATTAACAATGATCCAAATATTTCACATAATTTTAAGTTTTTCCTTTTTTCGAAACTTAAAAGTTGGAAATTCACAAATCATTAATTACTATTTTAAATTTCAGATATATTTTGTAACTGATACACCAGATGCAAAATTAAACGAGATAACTGGTGGAAAACTAATTGTGAGTGATTGTAGCAACGGACATACCAGGTATCATTCTTTCTTTTTTTTTCATTATTGATTTGTTCAGGTAAAGATTTTTAAAATTCTTAGATAAGTTTCTGCGCAATCAATTCCAGACTAATTTTTCTAATTCATAAAACTAATCACATGACGATACAGTACTACCATTACCAAATTTTATTTATTTGCAATAAAACCTACAGTCTAAAAAATGATTAGCTTTGTTTTCTGATTTGTAAATTGTGAAATTTGAGCGATTTTTTTTCGACTTTAAATAACTACTTAATACAATTTAAATTTTGGTTTTAAAAAGTTCCGGAAATTTTAAACTGGTATAGTTTCCTTTTGTTTCAAAAAAAAAGAAACATATGTTTTTTACGTCATCAAATTACAACATGTCAGCTTTAATGATAGAAATATAAATCGAAAATTGATTCAAATATAATCCGATACAATAGATCATAACCATATGGTAACACATTTTCCGTTTTCTATCTTTCTAGGCATCAAAAAAAAAAAGAAAAAAAATGAATTAACGAAATACGAAAAAAAAAAAAGAAATTAATTTCCAATTCAGGGAAGGTCTTTGTTGCAAAATGAATGCCGAACTGGAGCTATTTCTGGCACAGAAAACAAGGTCCCCACTTTTTTATCTTTTTTTTTTTTTTTTCTAAATATTATTGTATTTATGATGCATTTCGATGTGCTAATCATTCAATACCTTTCTCTACCTTTTCTATCACCGTTCCTCTATCAATTTATTCTTTTTGAAATGATTTATTCAAGGTCATATTATCTACCTTCACTTTTTTTTTTTTTACCTTGACACTTCTTTTACTTCCTTTCCCTCTCTTTACTTTCTCCTTTCTTTACCTACTTTCAATTGCTTCTCTTTTCTTTAAAAATAACTGATCTTATTCCCATTAAAGCTTAAATTAAATTTCACATTTAAAAAAAACATTAGTAATTTATCATATTAATGAATTTCTTTAATTTCGAAAAAAAAATTAATTCAACAATTTGTGACTTGTGGCTAAATTTATTCAAGATGAAATTCTGAAACAATATGTTCAAATTTATACAATTAGATTCATATATATATATATATATATATATATATATATATATATAATAT